CCTAGTTACCTGTCCTTTGATAACATATATCGTATTCTGTATTTTCCAGGGAGGGCAGATGTAACAGTGCTGCCATTTGTATAAAAACAATGTATAGCTATGGCATTCAATGTCTAACACTAATTTGCTAACCACAGATGTGCTATTCACATTTAAATACAGGAATATCTATCAAATCAAATCTAACGTATATCATATCACTATTATTTTAAGTGTTTATTTTATACATATTAAAGGTTAGTAACCTAGTTTCGCAAAATAGACTGTCAGGGGAAAATTGAAACTATAGATATATAAAAATTGTTAAGCAAAATAAAACATAATTAATACAATATTGGGAGGTTTTTGAAAAGAAATTTGACATCCAATACAAGAATCATATCAAAGAATTGTGCTATAATTAAATTAATCAGTGTCTATACATAAACTATCATAAGATGAAGATATTTTGAATGTTTCGGTATGCAGTATCCGTGGGTTTTTTAAGTTTGCTTTCCTTGAGCTTTACTTAATACAAACTATATTTTACAACAATTATTGCACAAGCTATTACAGTTTCTATTTATAACATAAACTGAATCCATTTTACAACAATATTGAAACAAATCATTTCAACTTATATTAATCACTCTTTGTGGTCCGGATGTTCGCTCAGGGAAGGCCTTAATGAATAGGGAAACCAGAGTACCCGGAATAACTTACGTGGTCGGACAGGTTAACCCCACACCCTTAAACGTCCGATCGGGAATTCGAACCCTGAACACCTTGGTGAAAGGCAAATGCGCTGTCCTTTGTGCCACCCGACCACCCCATTTTTATAACTAATTCTGACACATGGCGGTCCTCTTCAAAACGCACCGATTTCATTTCAGAATATTTTATCAGTTTCTCTTAATCACTCTTGTTGGTTAGGATGTTAGCCCTTTAGTGGGTCTTACTATGGAGGAAACCAGAATACCTGGAGGAAACCCACGTACAAGAATTAGCACCATAACCTACAGAAACGGTTTACTTATACGTTATATGACTAGAAATGTGATTGTTAAGTTTTCGTTTCTTGATCATTTGGTATTCTTTATAAATTACCTTGCGCCATGTATCATGAATAAGGTATGGCGGAAAACTGCCCGTATTTCCCCAAGTCGGCATTTTTGAAAACGGAAGAAAAAAATGATGAGTAAATAGTTTTTAATTGCGAAAATGCATGGAATAGATATAAAACCAATTGAATATGAATTTTTGAACTGTTGAGATATTCGGTATTGTTATTATAATACTGCAAATATAGCCATATTCGCTACATATCTATGAAAGTGACCGGGTTTCCCAGACTTAAAAAAATACTTTTAATACTTTCCCATCCGAGGACCAACTTTTCAATAACCTTTTTGATTCCGCGATGTAATATGCAAACACAAATCATATGACGGAAAAGTGGTCCTTCTTTGGGAAAGTGCTCAAAATAAGGAAAAACAGGGTTGATCAAGTTTTCAAAACTGCGACAGATTTTTGTCGGGTGAAAGGAGTTTGTATTTCCATATTCGTCTATGTCCGGTGTAGCATAATGTGTAACGCACTTTAGCTTGTGATTGTGTGACAATTGTTTGAGGATTAGCGGACTTCGTGGGATAAACCATGTATGAGCATGAAATTGAAAAAAAAAAACACCGTTCAGTTATTATTTGTCCTTTTCAGAGGACTTAAGGTTTACCTGTTTACCTTTCCTCCAAGTGGATTATGGTGTAGCCATTAGTCAACATTAGACTAGCCCTATAACATATCTGTATATAACAGGCAGGTCTATCAGATTGGCAATATTACATCACATACAAGTGTATCAGGCTGGCATCATTACGTTAAATATGACCCACGTGTAATTGAACTGGTCTTGTTACATTAAATATGGCAGACAGATGTATGAAACTGAAAATATTACACATCCAAATATGACATACAGGTGTGCTGGACTTGCCTCACTACATGACATAAGCAGGCGAATTCAGTCCACCCTTTTATATAACATATGACAAAAGGTACATGTTATAGGTTAGTCTAATTCACCTGCCTGTGTACAGGTGAATGTTCACGTATGCCATACAAGTGGTTTTGATTACATATGACAAGCAGGTTTTCGGACGAATCATTTAAATATTTACATTTATAATTTATTTGCTTGAAATATCGACCAAATTGCATATGAGATACTGTATTATTCCAATTGTCGTTATGCCCGCCCGCGTAATAATCTATCGGTCTACAATGGAGTCTCATGGAGAGGCAGTACTCTAGTCGTTAGCTCAACGAATACTTGAATCAGATGAACTTATCGACAAAGAAAATAACCAAAGGATGGAAGAGGCAAGGTTTGATAACATCGAAAGAGAGGACATGGGTAGGTTTGTCGACAACATGAAAAACGGCAACAAGAAGAAAGATATTTGTTTTAATGCATTTTTTTCATCAGTAAAATGTATTTGATAAAAATGCTATAACATGCCAGTTTTCATATCAGACCCATTGGCCCTCAACCTATACCAGGCCCTTGGGCCTCATATAGGTAGCTCGGTCCAACTGGGGTCTGATATGAAAACAGACATGTAATAACCTCTAAATATCAGACAGATTATAAGACTAGCCAAAGTTCACTATATCTACATGACTGGCGTAGTGATTGTGTGACAATTGTGTGAGGATTAGCGGACTTCGTGGGATAAACCATGTATGAGCATGAAATTGAAAAAAAAAAACACCGTTCAGTTATTATTTGTCCTTTTCAGAGGACTTAAGGTTTACCTGTTTACCTTTCCTCCAAGTGGATTATGGTGTAGCCATTAGTCAACATTAGACTAGCCCTATAACATATCTGTATATAACAGGCAGGTCTATCAGATTGGCAATATTACATCACATACAAGTGTATCGGGCTGGCATCATTACGTTAAATATGACCCACGTGTAATTGGACTGGTCTTGTTACATTAAATATGGTAGACAGATGTATGAAACTGAAAATATTACACATCCAAATATGACATACAGGTGTGCTGGACTTGCCTCACTACAAGACATAAGCAGGCGAATTCAGTCCACCCCTTTATATAACATATGACAAAAGGTACATGTTATAGGTTAGTCTAATTCACCTGCCTGTGTACAGGTGAATGTTCACGTATGCCATACAAGTGGTTTTGATTACATATGACAAGCAGGTTTTCGGACGAATCATTTAAATATTTACATTTATAATTTATTTGCTTGAAATATCGACCAAATTGCATATGAGATACTGTATTATTCCAATTGTCGTTATGCCCGCCCGCGTAATAATCTATCGGTCTACAATGGAGTCTCATGGAGAGGCAGTACTCTAGTCGTTAGCTCAACGAATACTTGAATCAGATGAACTTATCGACAAAGAAAATAACCAAAGGATGGAAGAGGCAAGGTTTGATAACATCTAAAGAGAGGACATGGGTAGGTTTGTCGACAACATGAAAAACGGCAACAAGAAGAAAGATATTTGTTTTAATGCATTTTTCTCATCAGTAAAATGTATTTGATAAAAATGCTATAACATGCCAGTTTTCATATCAGACCCATTGGCCCTCAACCTATACCAGGCCCTGATATGAAAACAGACATGTAATAACCTCTAAATATCAGACAGATTATAAGACTAGCCAAAGTTCACTATATCTACATGACTGGCGTAGTGACTCAGTATCACACATAAATAACAAACCAACACGTAGGAACACGGTCACTACTATGGATCACTACGCTGGTATTTCGCCGGTTCTATTGTTATATTCATGTTTTCCTGCTGTAATCAGTTAAATAGGCTGACAAAATAGAGTACAATATAAAATTTATATTATTGAATACCAAAAAGGCGAAGAGGTCTTCATCTTACTAAAATATGTACACAAGCAACAACATACAATAAGGAATGGTGTGTTTTGAGTCCTATGTCGTGGGACAATAAAGAATTGTGTATTGAGAGTCTCTGTCATCGGTCAATTCGGAATCGTGTGTTTTTGAGTCCTCTGTCGTTGGACAATGATGAATGATGTGTTTTGAGTACTCTGTCATGGGAAAATGAGGAAGGGTGTGCTTTTGAGTCCTCTGTCATGGGACAATGAGGAATGGCGTGTTTTTGAGTCCTCTGTCATGGGACAATGAGGAATCGTGTGTTTTTGAGTCCTCTGTCATGGGACAATGCTGAATCGTGTGTTTTTGAGTCCTCTGTCGTAGGACAATGAGGAATGATGTGTTTTGAGTACTCTGTCATGGGACAATGAGGAATGGTGTGTTTTTGAGTCCTCTGCCATGGGACAATGAGAAATGGTGTGTATTTGAGTCCTCTGTCATGGGACAATAAGGAATGGTATGTTTTTGAGTCCTCTGTCATGGGACAAAGAGGAATGGTGTGTTTTTGAGTCCTCTGCCATTGGACAATGAGAAATGGTGTGTTTTTGAGTCCTCTGTCATGGGACAAAGAGGAATGGTGTGTTTTTGAGTCCTCTGTCATGGGACAATGAGAAATGGAGTGTTTTTGAGTCCTCTGTCATGGGACAATAAGGAATGGTATGTTTTTGAGTCATATGTCGTTGAACGAAGAAGAAATGTGTTTTTCAGTCCTATGTCAGGGGCAAATGAGGAAATGTGTGTTTTTGAGTCCTTTGCCGTAGGACAATTTGGATTGTTGTATTTTTGAGTCCTCTGTCGAAGGACAATGAGGAATGGTGTGTTTTTGAGAAATTGGTCCGCCAACCTACGGATTACCCATTGTCCATTGTTAAACATTCATTCTTTACATACAGCAGTTTAGTGATTTTCGTCAATTTAGACAGATATTATGTCAATATCAACAAGACTTCCGTTTTTAGAGCGAGACAAATACCAAATGTACTTAGGACGTACACGACCCTCCTCTCCCTGATGTTCTACAGAAGGCCCCACATGCGCATTCATGTAGATCAGACGTCTGACTACTTCAGTCATAAATAACGCATTGATCATTGTTTTTCCACCAAAAAAATAAAAAATATCACTTGTTTATTTTGTTTACTATTAACAGTGTCATCAACGGAACACCGACAGCCAGGCCCCCAGCAACACAGGTAACGGTAAGTCCTGGAAAATAGACAAGCATCACATACATGTCCAGGTTATGTTGTATCAGATATACAAAATTACTATTAACGCGCATACAATACGATTCCATTTTTTTGTTTTGCCTTTGAAGAGGATGTTCACGCCAATCTGTTAAAGATGTCTCTTACCTAAAATATATGTATCTATATGATCGTTGCTGTGAAAATACGGCAAGGTAATTCCCAAAATATCGATAGAATGCAGTTCCGTTCAAACATATTCAATATGTTTGAACGGAACTGTGTTGCATACCCTCATAAATGTTAAAAAGATGCATTTCAAACCTTATATTTACGTTCTATTGCATCTACTTTTATTATTTGAAATTTAAAAAAAAATAGTTTTTCACGTTAAAAAGCAAAACATCGTTATGAAAACAACATGAATTGAACAGCCTTTTTCGCGGGAAAGATGATGCGTTGTCAACGGTGACGAAGTACACAGTTGAGCAATAAACAAATAGTTCCACTTTACATGTTTTTCAATAATTTAATTTATATTACCAGCATGTTTAACAAGCATTAATTATTTTAAAAATTGATAGTAGATCTTAAATTAAAACAAAAATACCATGTAAAATATTTCAGTTGCAAAAAGTCAGAAATGTATTCCGTTTTTGCAGACATGAGAGGTCATGTAACTGTACATGTAGTACTGTTAATATTACTACAAACATGCTTGTTGGTACTGTTATCTAGAGGCACTGCAACACAAATGTAAATATTTAGCTATAAGTGATCATATCATAGCTTAAACATCCCCTAACGTAACTGTGGCTTGTAGTCCTATCGAATGAAACGTTTGAGAATGTATCTGTTATTTATGTTTAATAAAAAAAACTTTTATCGTGTATCTTAAGGATATACACCTCTGAGATGTCAAACATTTCTTGTATTTAACTTTTTTTTCTTATATGGATACCAATTTAACACAATATGTTATTTAATGTGATTTTGTTTTGTTTTGACCATTTGCACAACCAATGCATACACTTTCTTCCAAGTGTGTTATCAGATATGTATGCATGTTTGTAGAATTGATAAAAATATCATTTTCTTTTAAATTATGGAAGTCAATCTTAATCTTATTTTTTTTTTTTTTACTCAGAAAGGCGATTTTAGTTACCCCCTAAATTTTAATGATAAAATACTAATTTTTTCACCATTTTTTGCCAATTAAACGCTTGATATATATAAAGTGCTGCTATTAAACTTTTTTTTAAATATTTAATGAATCAAAAGAAAATGTGTTTCTCTTTCTAAAACAGCCACAAAAAAGGAGGTCCGTGTGCTTCTTTTTTTGTTTCATTATTATTTGTGTTATTTTTCACGTTTTTCGGGGTAAAAAATCAAAAGTGCTTCAGTTACACTAAATATGTAAAAATAATATATACCAATTATGTATCATTTTGCACGTTGTTGCATATTATTTTTATCATATTGAACATTATAAAGTTGTACAGCAAAATTGAACCTGCTACAATTAAAAATGGCGACACAATGACAATTTCAGTGATCAATCTAGTGTCAAAAAGCGACGAATCCATAATATACAATATCTTGACATCCATTCTAAACTAAATGTATAAGAGTCCAAAGATCAATCGCATTGCTTGATATATATTTTATAAGAGCAAAAATAAAGAGCATACATTACCGATTAAATTGACATGGATGTCCGACTCCTTGTCTTGTCTTTGTTTTGAATGCAATATCTCTGAAACGGATAGATAGCTACAGTAAACGATGGAAAACGTCATTACAGACTTTTATGACAAAAGATAAGTAAGTAGGTAGATGGTTTACTTAAATCATTATAATGCTGTTTGTTTGACGGACTGATAATTCGTGTCACTAAGATTTCTAATTTTAAGGTAAGGTTGTATGTATTTACCATTTGTAGTACTATACAACCCTTTGACATCAGTAGTTGTCTGAACACTAGACGATTCCACCACAGGCTCCTGGGGTAAATCCTGCACGTGCTGCGTTATGTTTAAGGCAACACTACAAAGGAAACATCGGTACACATTTACTGATTTGATATAAATATGAAATATTTTGACATAAATGTGTAGTGTAACACTAGCTAATTATATTGTTTTAAGACAGAAAAACTCACTTGAAATATCCGTATTCGTTTGGTACAGAATGTATCTCATGGAACGGATCGGAAGCATTGAGTCTCAGACACTCGTGGAACATTGGTGTTTTCTCGGTTGACATTTCATAACAATCGCAGACCATAATGAGGAATAAATTAGGAACGGTCATGTTAACTTCAAACGTCATATGGCTGGTGTCGTCATCGGTGAAGTCGATGTCCATCGTGTGGTATTTTGGACGTGACGTACATCTCCTGCTGGGTATACCCCGTAGTATACCGCGGCCACATTGCGTACACGTATCGCTACAGAAGTGCTTCGTGCATCCTCCATCACTGTTCGAAGGAGCAAATTAATATATGTCTTGACGCATGACTCTGTATCGGACCAATAACTCATATCTAACTATAAATGATATTTTATTTACATTGTACTTGTTTGTGAATAGCTAAGACTAGGATTTTTGCCCACATCTCGCTATTATAGACTAACACATTTGTATTGATATTGTAACTCCTAGGTACACGTATCCTTAAGGAATGACTTACTATAATTAATTATATCGAGGTATTTTGTACATAGACTGAAAATCAGTTGTCTGAACACTAACAATCCCATGTTTACACCTTCCAATCAGCTCTTCACACTCGATTCGTACACGTTCCATCAGCAAAACATCACCCAAGCACACCCTCTGTGTGATAAGTACTGTACAGTGTACATCACACCAGTACACTCTCTGTGTGATAAGTACTGTACAGTGTACATCACCCCAGCACAACCTCTGTGTGATAATTACTGTACAGTGTACATCACACCTGTACACCCTCTGTGTTATAAGTACTGTACAGTGTACATCACCCCAGCACACCCTCTGTTTGATAATTACTGTACAGTGTACATCACACCAGTACACTCTCTGTGTGATAAGTACTGTACAGTGTACATCACCCCATCACACCCTCTGTGTTATAAGTACTGTACAGTGTACATCACCCCAGCACACCCTCCGGGGTTTAAGTACTGTACAGTGTACATCACCCCAGCACAACCTCTGTGTGATAATTACTGTACAGTGTACATCACACCTGTACACCCTCTGTGTTATAAGGACTGTACAGTGTACATCACCCCATCACACCCTCTGTGTTATAAGTACTTTACAGTGTTCATCACCCCAGCACACCCTCTGTGTGATAAGTACTGTACAGTGTTCATCACCCCAGCACACCCGATGTGTGATAAGTATTGTACAGTGTACATCACCCCGGCACACCCTCTGTGTAATAAGTACTGTACAGTGTACATCACACCTGTACCCCCTCTGTGTTATAAGTACTGTACAGTGTACATCACACCTGTACCCCCTCTGTGTTATAAGTACTGTACAGTGTACATCATCCCATCACACCCTCTGTGTTATAAGTACTGTACAGTGTTCATCACCCCAGCACACCCGATGTGTGATAAGTATTGTACAGTGTACATCACCCCGGCACACCCTCTGTGTAATAAGTACTGTACAGTGTTCATCACCCCAGCACACCCGCTGTGTGATCAGTATTGTACAGTGTACATCACCCCAGCACACCATCTGTGTTATAAGTACTGTACAGTGTTCATCACCCCAGCACACCCTCTGTGTGATAGGTACTGTACAGTGTACATCACCCCAGCACACCCTCTGTGTGATAATTACTGTACAGTGTACATCACACCTGTACACCCTCTGTGTGATAAGTACTGTACAGTGTACATCATCCCAGCACACTATCAGTGTTATAAGTACTGTACAGTGTTCATCACCCCAGCACACTCTCTGTGTGATAAGTACTGTACAGTGTTCATCAACCCAGCACACCCTCTGTGTGATAAGTACTGTACAGTGTTCATCACCCCAGCACACTCTCTGTGTGATAAGTACTGTACAGTGTTCATCAACCCAGCACACCCTCTGTGTGATAAGTACTGTACAGTGTTCATCACTCCAGCACACCCGATGTGTGATAAGTATTGTACAGTGTACATCACCCCGGCACACCCTCTGTGTAATAAGTACTGTACAGTGTTCATCACCCCAGCACACCCGATGTGTGATAAGTATTGTACAGTGTACATCACCCCGGCACACCCTCTGTGTAATAAGTACTGTACAGTGTTCATCACCCCAGCACACTCTCTGTGTGATAAGTACTGTACAGTGTTCATCACCCCAGCACACTCTCTGTGTGATAAGTACTGTACAGTGTTCATCAACCCAGCACACCCTCTGTGTGATAAGTACTGTACAGTGTACATCATCCCAGCACACTATCAGTGTTATAAGTACTGTACAGTGTTCATCACCCCATCACACTCTCTGTGTTATAAGTACTGCACAGTGTACATCACCCCTGCACACCCGCTGTGTGATAAGTACTGTACAGTGCACATCGCCCAAGCACATCCTCTGTGTAATAAGTACTGTACAGTGTTCATCACCCCAGCACACCCGATGTGTGATAAGTATTGTACAGTGTACATCACCCCAGCACCCCCTCTGTGTGATAAGTACTGCACAGTGTACATCCCCCCATCACACCCTCCGGGGTTTAAGTACTGTACAATGTACATCACCCCAGCACACCCTCTATGTTATAAGTACTGTACAGTGAACATCACACCAGCACACCCTCTGTGTTACAAGTACTGTACAGTGTACATCACCCCAGCGCACCCTCTATGTTATAAGTACTGTACAGTGAACATCACACCAGCACACCCTCTGTGTTACAAGTACTGTACAGTGTACATCACCCCAGCACCCCCTCTGTGTGATAAGTACTGCACAGTGTACATCACCCCATCACACCCTCCGGGGTCTAAGTACTGTACAGTGTACATCATCCCAGCACACTATCAGTGTTATAAGTACTGTACAGTGTTCATCACCCCAGCACACCCTCTGTGTAATAAGTACTGTACAGTGTTCATCACCCCATCACACCCTCTGTGTTATAAGTACTGGACAGTGTCCATCACCCCAGCACACCCTCCGGGGGTTAAGTACTGTACAGTGTACATCAACCCAGCACACTATCAGTGTTATAAGTACTGTACAGTGTTCATCAACCCAGCACACCCTCTGTGTGATAATTACTGCACAGTGTACATCACCCCTGCACACCCGCTGTGTGATAAGTATTGCACAGTGTAAAGCCCCCCGGCACACCCTCTGTGTAATAAGTATTGTACAGTGTACATCACCCCAGCACCCCCTTTGTGTTATAAGTACTGTACCGTGTACATCACCCCAGCACACCCTCTGTGTTGTAAGTACTGTACAGTGTACATCACTTCAGCACACACTCTGTGTTATAAGTACTGCACAGTGTACATCACCCCATCACACCCTCCGGGGTTTAAGTACTGTACAGTGTACATCACCCCATCACACTCTCTGTGTTATAAGTACTGTACAGTGTACATCACCCCAGCACACCCTCTGTGCGAAAGGTACATTTCCCTAGCACACCGTCTGTACCATGGGTACATCACCCGAGAACACCCTCAGTGTGATAGGTACATTACGCTAGCATACCCTCTGGCCATTGGTACATATCTCCCCAGAACACTGTACGATATGTACATCACCCGTACTCTATACGTAGACAGACACGTACATGTTTACCCTCCACACACACCAAACCTTAAACACACTCTGTACGTATTAAGGTAATTATATCACCTTTACACGCGGACAGTTACACGCATCTCCACACTTCCCCACACACCAAACCTTAATTAAACACACTGTGTACGTACCCCGGTAAGCGTATCACCTCTATACGCGGACAGGTACACGCATCTCCACACTTCCCAACACACCAAACCTTAATTAAACACACTGTGTACGTACCCCCGTAAGCGTATCACCTCTATACGCGGACAGCAGTGAAAACCTTTCTGGGGTCTATTCGAGGTGCAGTTGTTAGTCGCCACACATTTGTCGTTAAGATGGACTGGATAGAAATGGTACTTAAGGAAGTTGATATGTATGATTTCTGTCGTCACTTGGTAGACGAGGAATACCTATAACATATAATAATAAATAATAATAATAGACTTTATTTATACTCGATAATAACTTGTTGAGTCACAGACTCTTCTCACACATGGCCGAGAACATATATACAAGTTTGTACAACATGGATAATACGTTACAAATATAAGAGATAATGCAAAACACATACATTATAAAGATATATTGTATACATATATAAATACTGTAATATGATGTATATGTACATGTAACTGTTCTGTTTCACTGTGTCTTGAAAAAGGAGCGGATCGCTCCGAAAATTTGACAACCTAAACTTGTCCACACTGTTGGAATTACTTCTTTGCCCCATATATAAATACTGATATATACTGCTTTTCAATTGAGTAATTAATTATATAACTACATTTCATTACAACACATATGTCAACCATACTGTTATAGTAACATACGCTGATGAAACATAATTACATATCGTAGTATATTGCTTATTGGGAAAGTCGTAATGTCCAGATCAGGCCGAAAGAGAGGTTTTTTTTTGGCTTTATACTAGTAGTTTAAAATCGTTTCTGCAGTTAGTTTTAAATACTTCAAGTGATTTGGAGGATTTGGTTTGAGTGGATAGGCTGTTCCAAAATGTGGTTCTTGATTTAAAAATGACCGCTTGAAAAGTTCTGTTTTGTGTTTTGGTATACGGTAATTTCCTGCTGTTGCGGTGCGTTTGTTTCTGTTGTGACTTTCCTGGACTAAAGTGTGTGTTTTGAGTTTGTCAGAATACACTTTGTCCACTTTCGGTGTTTCTCCGTGCATAAAAGCATTATGGGAAATTGAGCCCGGTTAATATCTACAAAAAATGATAGCAAACCCCTACGAATAATTAAAGCTGTTAGCCAGCCACCCGTCTATCCGTCATTACACATCCTAAAGGTCAAATTTGACGAGAAGAATTGTTAAGTCAGACAAGTTGCATGGCGGGTGAATATTTTGCCTACATGGCCAATTTACTTAAAAGACCTTCGCAATGATTCGACATGACGCGAGTCCAATCTTGGTTGCTCTACTGATCACGAGAATGCTTTAAACGATGGCGCTAATACGTGCAATAAACTGAGATAACGTCCCGCCATATTTTTTGATTGCTTTTTTAATTTCACCTCAACAAAAATTGTAATTTGATGTCATAAATAACGGGATTAAACAGATCGATGAACACTTAACTAAGAGTATACTTCCGGTGTCATGAGAGGATCAGTTATTATGAATAGATGAATACAGCGAAAATATACCGAGATATTACAAGACATTTGAGTACTTTGAGATGGAATCTGCCGTTCTTCGTTAAATTATGCTGAATTCTTCAATTTTGACGAATGAGCCAAAATTAGAGAAGGAAAACCGTAAAGCTCGCCGGTTTTGTGTTCTGCAGTAAACCAAGGTCGCGAGTTGCTATTCACCGGAAGTAACTCACACGTGACTCGTTGCAAAATAGAGCGTAATAATCAATTTTATGGACTCACACCTATAAGAAAATTCTTAAAAATGAAGGCAAGCTGTTTTAAAGTCTCCCCGGTTCAGCTCGTTACATCTTGTAAGTACTGACACTCGTTCGATACCGATGTCGCATTCAGTCGGGTTGTACACGCTTGGAAAACAACAAAGAATTTCAGAAAAAAGTGAACATTTATCCATAAATAGGATCGAGGTTTTTCTAAAACGTATTGCTTTAAAAAGACCATCGTGAGAATAATTACGGCCATGTCACCATTGACAACTATCCATTCCGTGAAGCCCTTGGATATAAAAAATAGGGTTTTTTTAAGAAAAATATTTATATTTCATATTAATTCTCTGAAACATCAAATGCTTGAATATTACGAAAAAAATCGATGCCTTTAGGTTTCTATTTTCTGTAGTTTTGGGCATCATCAGCGGGTGTATCTATTTATAGAGCTCATTGAGCTGGGTAACGTCGGGCCATGTTCACTTGTAAGTTTGAGCTTGCCGAGTACCGAAAATGGAACATTTAATCACATCAGTAAGTATATGAAAATAACGGGCAATATTAAGGTACTTAAGTATGTATCTGAACAATACGTTTCATGTTTAGATTCTATAGTATATATACACTGTCGCACTGTACCATTTCCCAGATTTGTTTAATTTCATCTTTTAAACCTTCAATTGGTCAGGAGTAAATGAGCAACATACAAGACATAGGCAGATGAAATTTGCTCCAATCGCTTAAAACTATAAAGATTTTGATTTAGCCCATTTATTTAAAGCGCGAAATAAGAATGCTGCATCATATATGTTTGACACTAATAGACAGAAAAAGAGCCTGTCCACAGCGTAATCTAATAAAACATTTCTTCTAATGAATCGGAATCAGACTTCATCATTTGTCATGGGCCTAGTGACATTGCCCCTGAATCCAGTTCTGATTCTGAATCAGAAAGTCTGTATGTCCCGTGGAAAAGGCACAAGCAAAGGTGAGAGATATTTCATTCAGAGTTTTTTGGGGGCTTCAGGAACCCCCCACCTGAATTTTATCTTTAAAAATATCAATTTTTCCCCACATGACCGAGACTGATGTGCACACGTTTATCCAGAAACCACCCATAATACTTTATTATCTTTTAGATTTGGTATTCAGCACAGCGGCATGGCTGCATTTCCTTGTTTAGATTTCTTTTAAAACTAATTAAAATTTGTCAAAATATGTTTTCAATAGGTGGACAATGATGATTATTATATCAATAAGTTCTGACTTAGAAAATCTGGCCAGCAGAAAATTTTGAGATTAGCCAATAATGAAATTTTGCATAGACGCAAATAGGTTCTGGCCTTGGTTACATGATGTATTGTTCGCACCAAAAAGGAAAACTTCTGCAGAAAACTGATATTGGGAAATTAAAAACATATTAACATATATCTAGTGCGTCAATATTCTCGACAACATATCAGGCAATGCTTGTTTGTTTCATTTGTTTTATTTATAACTAGCCATGGTCATCAAGGATGGGCCGTGACGGAACCTGAGCGGACCTCGCTGGTAGGGATGGAAAGCTCAGGATCTGGGGCACTTATAGACACTTTGTTTCGACTGTTTGCTTAAATACTTGTTATCATAATGTACGTGCCGGAAGTAATTCTTCTGATTTTTTTCATTCTGGAATAACACTACCTATCTGTTATACGTTTAACGATGTTTCTGTTATGACAGTGTCATAGATTTGCATGCTTGTTATGTTTTATCTATTGCTACCTCCGCTTTCCTAGTTACATCATGTACCGACTTTTAAATAAAATTTACTTGACTGATTTGATTAGCCTCATTGTAAATATGTAACGTTATACAGGGTGTAACATTTCCCGTTACTGTGTACCGGAACACTTCCGATTTAATAGGTAGGCCATTACTTACAATGTAGTATTTCTTATAAGTTTAATAGGACATGGATTTTTATTCCCTAGGCAAAGGGTTTAACCATATGATGAAGTAAATATGTACTTTGACTCACTGCATCTAAGACTAAGACATTCCACAGCAAGAGCAGAATATAAGAAAAGAGTTTTATCACATAATCGGCCTGTTATCCAGCGAATGTCATTAGTGTAATATTAACATTTGCATGGCATTGTCACTACATAGGCTATTTGAAAGCTGTGTCGTTGATGGGACTTTAAATACCATGCACCACGAGACATAAATCTTAGCGTATCGATACAACACCGACCGGAACTACAATATCCAATGGAAATAAACATGACGGCTGCTGAAATATCGCTGGGCAATGTGGGGCTTGACAATGTAATTGTAAATGTGCCAAAAAGACAATATTAAAACTTTTATTACAACAAAACAAGACTAAGGTCTGCGATATCGTACACAATCCACACAGATTGAAATAGCCAATGCCGGTAATGGAAACAACTTTAACACTCCTGCCATTTATCAGATCAACAGGAGTTCATTAATGTCTGAAATACACATGCAATAGACCTACTGACACATATGCTATAGATTTACTGATATGAGTCACAGCACACATAAACATACACAAGGCATATGTGTATTTTAGACATTTAATTTGTAACGAACGCGTGTGCTCCGTCGCAAGATCACTCGCAAAGGCTCGCAAAAATAAATACTCCTAAAACTCGTTTCATAAAATCTCATATGAAATGAAAACTCATTTAAGATCCTATATATATATCTACATTGAATTGAATATTTGTTCTACTTCGTATACGACACGTTAATGTTATGCACCATTTATGAAAACCGTACTAACTTATTTTGAGCCTACACGTGATAGCTACCCTGTTTTCTTTGAAAAGATGGCAATACCGAGTTAGGATGATTATCTCTAAAATTATCGCCATACTCTATACCGGTATGCTTTTTAGGTCGACATAACAATATGATTTTTCGAGTAAATTAAACGTAGCATATGTCTTGCTAATAATCTAATCTAACCATTGTCAACCCCTTTTACTACATTAAAAATATAAGATAATTTATTTTTTGTTAGAATCACTTATCAATATGTTGTCAATGCAATGGTTACAGGTTTATCTACAATAACCTATACAGAGGGTTCATAAGAATAATCATTATAATGGTTTTTTAACTCTTATAAATCTAACGCCAGAGGGGTAGCTATATGTATTAATAATAATTTTGAGTTTAAAGTTCACAAAGAAAAGAAGGATAATACTGGTAATTTTTTGGCTCTAGATATTACAATTGAAGGATCAAGAATGACTCTTATTACTATATATGGTCCAAATCAGGATAGTCCTGGTTTTTACAATATTATTTCTGAGACTATTGATGATTTCGAAAACAGTTCTGTTGTGATATGTGGAGACTTTAATTTAGTTCTGAATCCTGAGATTGATTATGACAATAACTATAAAAACATAAATAATCCTAAAGCTAGAGAAAAGGTATGTGAAATTGTAGAAAACTTTGGTCTTATTGATATATTTCGAGAACAACATGAGGACAGTAGAAGGTATACATGGA